ACATACACCTCTAGCTTTTTGTCTGTTATCTAGGGAATAAGTAAAAAAAAAATGTATAAATGAAAATGTCCACTTGAGAGACCTCTGAAACAACCACTCACAGATATCAAGGAGTGTCTTTGCATTAACAGTGTATTTAGTAGGTTTCTAAATATTATATACCTGGAAGTTAGTCTTTCTGATTGGAAGCCAAGTTAAACTGTTTCCTCGTTTGGAGTTACTAAACAATACTAAATATTGCAGGTTTCTTCTGAGACACTGATGAAGAAAATACACCATCCCTCTTGGATTTCCCATTATTCTAATTGTTAGTCACTTTTTGGGAAAACCATCAACAGAAATAGAGTATACATACATTCTATGTAAACTGGATATCATGTTATATAATATATCATATTATAGCTGGACATTATATACAGTTATATAAATTTATACATATTATATATTTATATTTATTAAACCTATATGTATATATTTTTCAAATCTGTATTTTATATATATAGAGGGAGTCATTTATCAGCTCTTTCATTTGCTAATGGAAAGAGTCTCAAGCAGGGTCAGTATACAAATGCTTTGAGTACTTTACACTACATTTATACAAAGAGATTATTTTTACCTTCATGATTAATGTTATCTTTTATGCTTTCAAAATTTCTTTTAGAAATGAATAAATGTTTCTCTTTGGTCCTATGGTTACTTTTCAAGTGCCAAAATTCCACATTGCTAAGAATGCTATTTTACCACATTCAAATAGGTCATAACTTGTTTTCTAGTCTGTGAGGCTTTCCAGGTACAGTGTAGACTTTTAAAGAAATGAATTATCTCCAGTGCTTTTCAAAGCTGTAACTACATCAAGACCTTTACAAACTATACACCAATTTCAATTATACCCATGTATTTCTCTGTAGTTTGTTTTATGATCTTCAATGCTATATTCAATGCTTCAATATAGGGCATATATATATTTTTTGTTTTATAATATTTAATTTTTACATCATTTTGTACAGTTTTTCCCCCATCTCAATTGTAACCCCCGCAGGTTTCCCATCACCAAGTCACCTCCCATGTGCCATCACCATAATTCCGTGCACTTCCCTCCCCACCCCCCATTTTTTATCCCATTCCCCACTCCACCCCCACAGAATGTCTCTGGTATATGGCTGTCCATTATTCTTGTTATTTTCTTGCCTGGTCCATTATACTCCTGCTGTGAATGAGACCATACGGTATTTTTCTTTCTCTTTCTGGCTTATCTCACTAAGCATGATCTTTTCCAGCTCCATCCAAGTTGCTGCAAAAGACATGTGTTTCTCTTTTTTGGTTGCTGAGTAATATTCCATTGTATATATGTACCACATCTTTTTTACCCAGTCATCTACTTTTGGGCATTTGGGCTGCTTCCATGTTTTTCCAATTGTAAATAAAGCAGCAATAAACATGGGGGTACAGGTATCTTTTTGAATCAGTGTTTTTGTGTCTTTTGGGTAGATACCTAGGAGTGGGATTGCTGGGTCTTATGGAAGCTCCATGTTAAGCAGTTTGAGGAACCTCCAAAGTTTTTCATAGTGGTTGTACTAGTTTGCATTCCCACCAGCAGTGCAGGAGAGTTCCTTTTTCTCCACATCCTCGCCAACATTTGTTGTTGCTAGTTGTTTGAAGATGTGCCATTCTCACTGGGGTGAGGTGGTATCTCATTGTGGTTTTAATTTGCATCTCCCTTACTATGAGTGATGTTGAACATTTTTTCATATGCTTGTTGGCCATCTGCATTTCCTCTTTGGAGAAGTGTCTTTTTATCTCTTTTGCCCATTTTTTGATGGGGTTGTTTATTTTTGTTGAGTTTCGTCAGTTCTCTGTATAATTTTGTGATCAGTCCTTTATCACTACTTTTGTGTGAGAAAATGTTTTTCCAATTAACGAGCTGTCTGTTTTTTGTAATGTCTCTTTTGCTGTACAGAAGCTCTTTGACTTGATGTAGTCCCATCTATTTATCCTTGCCTTCACTATTGTGGCGTTGGGTGCTCTGTCTTTAAATATGTCGTTGAAGTGTATGTCGTGTAGAGTTTGACCCATGTTTGCTTCCAGGTATTTTATGGTTTCTGTTCTTATGTCTAGGTCTTTAATCCACTTCGAGTTGATTTTTGTGACTGGAGTGAGACAGTGATCTAGTTTAATCCACTTCGAGTTGATTTTTGTGACTGGAGTGAGACAGTGATCTAGTTTCACTTTTTTTGCATGTAGCTTCCCAGTTTTCATTCAGGGCATATTTTAAAGTAACAAAGGCACAAAGGAACAAAAATAATCTTTCCCCTAATCTGTCCTTGCATAATAATAATTTCTTTTTAAATTGATATAAATTTGCATTACTAAGCAATTTACAGACAGAATTTTAAATATTGATGATATAAAGGTTTATCATAGGTGAAACAAAGGAATGATCTCTCTCAAAATGATCAAGTAATCATTTTTAAAGCACAAAGGGGCTTTTTAGAGTCTAGAGTCTTAAAAAATCTTTCTCCCTGGTTTCCTAAATTTTTTTTTGGTTATTTGAAAGGTATTTAGAGTAAATTTTCATCATTTTTTTTTTAGCTCAGGAGAAATATTAAAGAAAATGAAATTACAGCTAAATGGAAGATTTAGAACTCTCAAGAAACTCATACATACCACATGCATTCATATCATATAATGCAACAAAGTTTGGAAAGTTTGTTTATAATTTAAAATATTTTAAAATGATGCTTTTCAAGTATGCTTTCTGAGAAAACAAAGTGGACACAAAATTCTGTGATTATCAATTGCCACTGGTAGTGTTCCCAAGGATGAGGTTACCAGTAAATGCTTGTTTATTAGATTAAAAATGCAGACCCAGGCTAATATTTTAAAATCTGTCTGTCACCACCACTTACTAAATATGTGGGAGCAATTATGTACCTAATGACGTGAGGATAAACTAGTTTACCATCCAGAAATAGTCTACTCCAAAACTCAATGACACAACAAATCTTAAGTGTCATTCATTCAAAGCTCACTAGGTTTACAAGGCTCTCCAAGGCATCATAAGGATCCTTCAACTGGCTCAAGATTCCATGCTGCTTGAATCTTTTACTCTGTTCCTATTGCTACGGCCTTCATGCTATAATGCAGGAAAATAAATTATAAAGATGCTTAGAGAATCCAAGCATCAGTTCTCATAGACTTCTGCCTTTTATTTGACACCAATATTGATTAGGAAAAAAAAGAAAGTACGTAGAAAAAAATTAAGATGAAGTAAAACTATTTAAAAATCATATTATCTAATTTTAAAATTTGAAAGAGCCTATAAATAATCTAGTCAAGCTCCTTATGAATGTGCTCCTTATGAATGTGCAGACCCCTGGAGAAAGTATAAGAATTTTTACACAAGGTTATACAACCAAAATTATTCTATTCTAGAGTCAAATGCATCTCTCTACAACTCCCTGCTGGCTGCAATTCCACCACCAGCGTTTGCAAGAGTGCTGGACACTCTGGTCTCTTCCCTCCTATCTTAGTGCCTATAATGACAGGTGGCTAGAAATCCCTTTTCCAAATTTTTATTTATGGAGAACCCAGAGATCATAATGATAGAGGGAATGTTCTCAGGCTTTAAATAGTGCTGCAAAGCTTTTATTAGTTTCTGTTCATTGTATTTTAACAGCATGATATTGTATATGCAAATGAAAAATTCAAGGTTAAATACCTTATTAAAAATAATATGCTTCCCTAAGGTAGGAAAAAAATAAAGCCTGAGACAAGAGGCAGAATGGCATGTCCCAAAACATTGAAAATAATCAAATAATGTATGCTTGTTGTTTTTTGAAGCAATAGTATTTCAAAATAATTTTACCTCGGACCCTTCTTATACCATACTGTATGTTCTTGATGGTCTATTGCTATCAACAGAGAGAGATGGAATATGGATCTAGGTAGCTGTAGTACTGAACTAGGTAGCCATCACAGGTGGGTGATGTTTTTATTTATTCACCGAGTGAAGAGGAAATCAAACATACTGAGATTAGGAAAGTACCTACTGAATTTATAGAGGTATATCACTGAAATGATAATATGATTATTTTCCACTGGAAGAGATTCAGGTTTAAAATGTAGCTTCAGTTATTTCTAAAATGAATGGAATGATCACAGTTATTATCACTTCCATTATCTTAAAGGATTACCCATATCAACTGTCTCCTTTCCCTTCCCCTGCTTCCATTCGGACCCTGTGTTGGCACCGAGGAGGATGCCACCCTAAAGTATTCGGAAAATGCTGGCTCGGAACTTCTGCTGCCTGTTAACTTCTTTGCTAAGCCACTCATCTTGCAAAACTGACAATTCTTAAAATGAGATCAGAGACCTGGTCATTGTATACAACACTGTTTTTGAGCACAACGCTGTTTTTGAGCATAGTCCCCTTTTAGGTCCTTTAGTTTTATCTGACTTTATCAACAGGAAATACTAGACAGACATTCATTTATTTGATGGCACTGACAGAAAGTAGTTATATGCCTAATGCTAGAATGGTTCTTCCCTGAGTCTGCAAAATATTGTTCTGTATAATGCAGACCATAATGACATCTTTTTAAGTACAATACCTGTTTTTTGTTTGTTTGTTTGTTTGTTTGTTTTTAACAATGAAGCTGGCACAGCCCTTTGTAAAAAGGATTGATACTATCCTTTCGTCCAATGGATTATGAATCCGAGAAGTAGAGGTAGGAACAAAAGCAGCTCTCTAGAAAAGTAACTAAGACCTTGCAGAGATATTTGACATTCACATCAAGCCTCAGTAAGTATATGGGCTAGTTTTTGATGCTAAAACTAAAGGGAAAGGCTGTGCAATGACATTGCTTCTTGTTCAGACTGAGGAAAGCTGCAAAGATGTACATCATTTCCCTCTACACTGAACTCCCCTCCCTTTTGTTCCAGCTTCTCTCTTGCTGGGAGCTGACTCCTCCTTCCTGCAGTTGGGAGGATCACAGCTGATAGAGCACAGTGCATCCAAAGAGAGCAGTGTGCACTGCCTCTCTCTCTCTCTCTCTCTCTTCCTCTCATTCTCTGTTTCTCTCGCTTTGCCTGCAAAGCTGAAACCTACCTGACAATCTCTCCTTTTGAATCCAGCTCTGGAACCAAATGCATCATTTACTGCTCTGAAAAAGTGAATAGAGTTTGATTACCTCCAGGTACAAGCTTGTTTGCTTCAAAAGAAGAACCCAGGAATCCTTGTTTATCAATCTACCTGAGAAGCTTTTGCTTTTGTGCCCGAAACTTGACAGTTTCAGGAGGGAGTTTTTGGTTTGTTTTTAATTCGAATGTTGAAGTTTCATATCGATGTTTTAAATGCAACCTAATTTTTAAAAATGGGTTGAGTCGGATCTCACAGAGAAGTGCCTATTTTCTGCAAGATGGATGGGGTATCATCTGTCTACAGGGCAGCTTGGTAGGAGAAAATGGGATCTTATTTGCATACTTTATTTTGAGAATATTTACAGATTCATTGAAAGAAAAAATAAATATTGAGCAAGGACAATGTCTGTTCTTCCCAGTAATTTATCAACAAATGACTCTATCCTGTGGCAAGAAAATCACAATTCAACGGACCTTTTTAATCCTCCAGCAACTTTGAATACTTATCTTTTTTGCTTGACAGGCTTAATGATTTTTGCAGCCCTGGCAGGCAGCATTTTTTCACTAGTTTCCCTGCTGAGAATGCGGAACCGAACTGTTGTATCCCTGCTTGTGGCTTCCTGGTCTGGGGATGATCTCATGAGCGTCCTGTCTGTGACTATCTTCATGCTTTTGCAGTGGTCAGACCAGGTCCATGTCTACTTTCAGTCCCTGTGCTCCACTTCTGCCTTACTATATTTATGCCAGGGCCTCTCGAGTAACTTGAAGGCGACTCTCGTAGTCTCATACAACTTTTACACGATGCACAGGGTTGTGGGAAGCCGGACAGCCTCCAGAAGATCCGGCCAGGTACTCTCCGCAGCGCTCACCGTGTGGGCTGCTTGTCTGCTTCTGTCTGCGCTCCCGCTTTGTGGCTGGGGGACCTTCGTGCGCAAGCCCTGGGGCTGCCTGGTCGACTGCTCCAGCTCCTACGTGCTTCTCCTCTTTGCCGTGTACACTTCAGCCTTCGGAATCCTTGCCGGTCTCTCAGTCCCGCTTATTCACCAGTTGCTATGTTCCGAGGAGCCGAGACTCCACACCAACTACCAGGAAATTTCTCGCGGAGCTTCCACTCCCGGAACACCTTCAACTGCGGGGAGAGGGCTTTCCCTGTCTCCAGGTGATGCTCCGAGCTCCGCCCCGCGGTGCTCTGTGAGATGCTCCCCGAGCTCGGACCCAGGGTTTGGACCTATACTGCCCGCTTTAGCCGAGCGAGAGACAGGGAGTGGCGCTGTTGTTGCAGCCTGCGGGCGTGAGAACCCAAGGACCCTCTTTGGTACCAGAAGCCTTGCAGCGAGTCTAGCACAGAAGCGCTTCTCCTTCATCCTAGCGCTGACAAAAGTCATCCTTTGGCTGCCCATGATGGTAAAAGTGCAGTTACTCTCAGAGTGCGGGTGTGTGTGCCAGACCGTGTGCATGCGTGTTGGGACAAGAGTCCCTGGTTTGAGAGTCACCGGAGATGCATCGTTAACTGCGTCTGTACAATTCAGCCAGATAACTTTGGAAAGAGACTAAGCGGAGCATCCCCTGGTGACTCTCCAAACCAAGCAGCATCTTTGGGGTATGGTGGGTGGAGAAGGGGGCAGAGGGAGGGAAGTACTAAAAAGATTAAAGGATCTTTTCCCCCTTAGCATGTTAGGAGAGAAGAGGTGGAAAGGCAAGCAAGATAAATCAGAGGCAGAGAGAAGGGACAGAACAGGCTTCTTGTTCAGTCCAGTTGAGTGGTCAGGTGGTACTCTACTATGACAAGTAGGCCTGGGTAGAGGTGAGGGCCAAGGGATTTGTCAAGGGCCATTATTTTCTTGGGTACCATCAATACCTTGTGGTCTGTGTTTTGCTGTGGGAAACCTAGGTGATAAGCATGCGCAGAACTGGTACTCAAAATTTGACCTCCCCAGCCCCCACCTTCAAGTCTCAAAGTCCCATTTTCCTCCAGTTGCTCCCAGTAGTAATCCACCCAAGCCAAAGGCCCTGAAGCAAGGACCAGAGTTTCTGGCTCTCCAACAGGAAAGGCCCTGGAGAAGGGGCTGGGGCAAGAAGTTTTGGGAGGAGCTGGGGAAAGTGAGAAATGTGAGCTCGGGATAGATAGGTCTGAAGTTCTCTGCCTTTGCAGATCCACATGTTAGTACAGCACATGGTGGGACTTCAGAGTCTTCCCTTCGAGACATTCAGCTTTCTACTAACCCTGCTGGCCACGACTGTAACCCCGGTATTTGTTTTGTCCAAACACTGGACCCACTTGCCCTGTGGCTGCATCATCAACTGCAAGCAGAACGCCTACACAGTGGCATCTGATGGGGAAAAACGTAAGTCCTAGATGTTGCAACAGTTGGAAGCAATAACCACATAGTCAAAAAGTAATTTCTTGAGAAAGTTGCCTGACTAGAAGATGAAGAGTCCAAGGACAAATATAAATGATAAATAGGGGTTATTACATTTCTTAACATTGTGTTGGAGCAAGTTTTAAATAATGTAATTTAAAACAGTTATGTAAAGTGCTTGTACATCGGATAATTATTCCTTAGGCAAGAAAGGAAGAAACAATTCAATGCAAGGGGTCAATGAAACACCTTATATGTTTTAGCCAAAAAGGCTTTAAGCATATAGAAAATAAATGGCCCTCCTAAGTATACTTGTGAGAAAATGCACATGAAAGAGCTTAACTCTCAAGAGTTAAAATCTCCAGTTATAGTCAATTAATATTTTATGAAAGAGTAAGGAAAACATTTTTATTATTTGTGTTCTGACAGAGTTTTGAAAATCTTTCAGAATAAACAATACAAATGCCTGAAAAAGTTTCAAGATAATATGAAGTGTCTGCCTCTGCTTTTAGAAAACATACACATATACAACTACCCCTCAGTTTCAAGAAAGAAGAAAGGTAGCAAGGTTTTTCACATGGGTTGGTGTATGAAGCTAGTCATGCTATTTACTAAAAATAAAAAGAAAGAACATTCTATAGAACACATGTAGTGCAGGCATGGGCCAATTACAAAACTCACTACAGTCTGTTTCCTTCTTGAGAAGGAAAGTTGAGGAATGACCTAAATATTTTGACTGCCAAGAAAGAATGTCATTTTGCCATTCCAGAAAAAAGGTAGGATGCTTTATCATTAAATAAATTTAAAAATGCATTAGTGCATGCTGTTCCATAAATTGTCCTTTGCTACAAAAAAAGCAGGTATGTTATAACAGAAAATGAAAGTAAATAAAAATGATTTATCTGAGATTATTTGAGTGATATAAATATCAAAGTATATACACAAAAGTACATTTTGAAATCAACTTATAGCAGATTTATAAATATTAGTCATGAACTGTTATTTTTCAATTATTGATAACATTTAAATTTCAGTATGCCTAGATATTTTTTCAACCATCAAAAGATATTTTAGTGTTACAGATGCCATAAACTTCTATTGTTAGTAGATGCTAAATTCACCTCTATCTTTAAAATAAAATAATCATGGAATTTGTAATTAGTAATAAACTTTTGGAGCCACACATAACATGAAAGAATACATTTACAAGCCTGAAAGTTCAGACATTCTAGCGAATATTAGTATTGTGTCCCTAAATCAACTTGGTCTTATAGTAGTTAAGGTTGTAAGAGAGGTAAGAAGAATCTATGACAATAAAAAGTGTGATAGTGAAATAGTTTAGGGTGCCAATTTTAGGAAGTGAAGGACAGACTTATGGTGAATGGCCTGGGAAACATTCTGTCTTCGGTACAGCACAAGGTAGAAGAGCCTACAGAGGCTAGCTGGTTCAAAAATCACATTAATATCTGTTTGAAATTTTAAAAAGAATCAGAATAAGATCAGAATAATATTTCCTCTAAAATTGTCCTTACTTGTATTTATTCCAATAAAGGCATTGAAATGCAGTGGTTGATAAAAAGAGACATGGCTTCAAAAAAAGAAAAAAAAAAAACCGTGAGAAACATTAGTTTAAGATGTGTACAATTCAAATGATAGGCTACAATACTTCCATTCTCTATAACATTTTTGATGCTGTGACTCAAGTTCCACGTTTAAACTTTTTCCCCCTCACACCAAGCCCTTTTCATTCTTTGCTAGTGAACTTGCAAAGAAAGGAAAATATTTTTCCTAACTGTTCATTTTGCAAATGTAAATGTAATTCTACACATCAGCTGCACTGAATAGAAACTAAAAAGAATATAACCAGAAACTAAATGTCAATAAGGGAACTAATTTTCAGAAAAAAAATAATTATCTCTTGTTTCCAACAATCATTACTTAAAATAAAAGTCTTTTATTTTGAAAGATGATTTTAACAGAGGTATCTCATGTAATACACATAAGGTTTGGCTATGATTTTCAGACTTTTTAAGTTACATGTGATGATGTTTTGATTTTAATAGCTAAAATAGTTTATATAAAAATAAGGTTTTCAGCTTTTATCTTTAAACCAAATTCAGTAAGCTGGAGACATTACTCAGAAATTTATTTTTATAAGCTGATACAGTTTTTTCTGCCTATAGTTGTAATTAGTAAAATGTGATTAAGGCAAAAGACTAGTGCTACTTCATGCTTTATCCAGGGTTTTGTAGCACTGAAGTTTTGCTTTTCAGAACAAATAAAATATTGTATTTTTTTTCAATAAATGTTATGTAGTTTTCAAAAGATCCTGGGTTTCAAAAGATTTTTATAGTTTTTAAGTTTCTTTTAAGTTATTAGTCCATGAAATATATCTAGTTACACACACACACACACACACACACAAAGTTTTTTTAAAACATTAAATTGTTTTCTCAATGACATAAAATCAGGAATCAGGAATTCTCATGCCTTTGAGGCCTTCCTCCCATAAATAAATCATTCTTAAAGTTAACACTTCTCTTGAAATCATATTCTATTTGGCTAGAGTCACTAAATCTAGGGTAACCTAACACAAACTTTCCCTATCAGGCATAACTCCTATAGGTTGTTTCATTCACATACTCATTCAACAAATATTTATTAAAGAAATGGTCACTATATCACTTGCACTGTGCCTACTGTGCTTATTATGGAAAAGAAGTACATAATTCAGCGATAATGAGGTAAATTTGACTCAAAATGTGGTTTTATAACTTTCATATTATTTTTAAATAAATTTAATTATATACCCAAAATTTTAAATGTGGAAATTTTATACCAAAATTCAGGAAGTAGATTGTCTTAAGAAATCAAGAGTTGATAACATAGCTGTCATGCCTTTTGAAATAGTAGATAATGTCAAGCACCCTTCTTTAGAAAAAGGACTTTTTATATTGTAACATAGAATCTAGTATTTATTATTATTAATGTCCTCAACTGGCCTTGGTGGATATTTAATTTATTTTATCTTTTTTTATAACAAAACAAGATATAGTCTTTGTCCTCAAGGAACTTACAGATAATCAGTTGCTGATTCTGATACTAACACTGCTCTTCAAAACAGTTGTGATTATTAATTATACTATTTTTTTTCAAAGATTTATTTATTTATTCATACAGAACTGGGGTACAGGCCAGAGATGCGGAGGGTGAGAGGATTCACCAGAGACAGAGTGGGGAGCAGAACAGGCAGATCGACGAAGTACACTGCTGAGGGGAGCAGCGGGCGAGTCAGGAGGGGTCTGCCACGCCATGTGGTCACCTCCGGGGCAGGCGGGAATCGAACTCATGCGGAAGCGGCTTTAGATTCTCAGTGCTGTGCTTTAACCCGCTGCGCCACCAGGGAGGGCCTAATTATACTATTTTAAAATATTGTATAGCGGGTTTTTCCTTATAGTCAGTTTCTAGCCAGACACTGTTATCTCAATCACACAATTAGAACCTATTATGTCTATTATCTCAGTCAGGATTTACCTTTTGCATTAAGGAAAGTCATTAGCAAGAATTTTTTTCATAGTTAACATTTCATAATTATGTACTTACCCCAAAGTTAAAGATAATGTATCTGGGGTTTTCTGCTTCCATCAGCATTTCTCTCATGGTTCTGGTTAACAAGAAGTAATTTCATATAGAATAATTCCAATACTGGAATCAGTTGTTTACATTCTAATCTCTACCAGGAAGTACTTTTTAATTACTCTCAGTTTTTTGAACTGTAAAACAAGACCAATATGCTTTTATTATGTAGAGTATTGTTGATTTAAGTTACATAACCTATGTGTGTACTTTGGCCCTGGAAAGGTCTATTTCTTCAAGGGTTTGTGCACAAGTAGAAAATCAGTTCCTTGCAGGTCTGAGCCACTATATGCCTTCATCATCATCCTTATACTCTGTAAACTCTGCCTTTACATGCCTGCCTGTTCTTCCTTGTTTACACAGTCACCCTCATGGGTATCTATAAGGTCCATACAATTCTATTTTCTTCTCATCTACTCTGACTGCATCTTACATAGCATGACAAGGAGGCAAATTCTCCATGGACACATTCTATACACACCTTCAAAGCCACTATTCATTTTTGCTTTACATATTTCATAGTTACAATATTCAGCTAATAAAATATATAGACACAAATATTAATTGTATCATGTTATATGCTAATTGGGATTTTATGTCAGTTTTTATTTAATATCCCTGAATTGACAATTTGTTGATGGAAACCCATCAATAATTAAAACATCCTTCCATTTCCTTTGGTTTTCATACTGTTAAAGTAAGTTGAAGTTCTAATTTTATTATAGCAGACATTTTACTAGAAATGTAAGTGCAATTATGAATAAGAAGTGTGTAAATGTTAATTATGTTTCCACTTTTTCATTGTCTCTGAATAGAACTTATTTTTTATTTTTGGCTCAAACAATGAATGTTTCAACACAAATAATGAATTATTCCTATAAATCCATAAGGAAGTCACCTAAATGTGTGTTATAAAACAAATACATATCAGAGTAGAAAAAAAATTTCTGAAATGAGCCATGGATTGAAAGATGATAATTCAGACATTAAAATGTAATTTATCTATCATCCTGATAACTTTATTCTTAATAACTTTTTTTTAATTCTAGTGCTCAATGACATTCACAAACAAAATTTGTATCAATATCTGTCATATTCTCCTTTGTTATTTTAAGACCAGACACTAATATTTAGATGCCATCATATTTCACCTAATTTAAACCCTAAAATGTTTTTTGTGCTTTCCTGTTAAATCTGTTTTGTAATTAAGTAGGAGTTATAGACACGTTGTAAAATGCTTCTGTTCACAGAAATAGAAATCTATCACTTTTATTTACAATTTCCTTCAAATTCATATCAAAATGTACATGTTATGTAAATGTTTAAAAACTGCATTGCAGTACTGTCTAATTTTAAAGTATGCATTTATAAACATAAATATCAGGAATAGCATACATCAAAATATTTAAAGCAGTTTTGTCTACTGGTGGCATTGTCAGCTGAATAACTCAAATAATATGAAGTCGATACACTGAAAAAGCTAAAATAAGGCATTGCAGTTGAACTTTTTAATTTATAATTAATTTTTCATCACACATAACTGCTTTAAAGATGGAAAGGTTCTTGGCATTGTATGTATTTCAAATCCCTCATTGTGAAACTGAAAAACATTAGGCCCTGATTGGTAAGATGACTTGTTTGTGAAGCATCATTGTTTTGTATGATTGAAAGAAATAAATGAAGACAGCATTTAAACTATTATCAGTCAGATTGTATGCACTCTGATATTTTTAATAACTGTGTGCGTATATATATATATATATATATATATATAAGTATTGTTTATATTTACCTTCTTAATCAGGAATTTTGTTTGTTTGTTTTACTTAGCCAAGAGGAGAGGCTTTGAATTCAACCTATCATTCCAAAAAAGTTATGGAATTTATAAAATTAAACATGAAGATTATTTCAATGATGATGAGAATTCTACACCCTATCATGATCTCATGAACTATGAGTGCAAGATGACAAAAAAAACTCAGAGTGAAACTTGTAATATCTTCAATACCATTAAAGTGGAAATCAGCACCACACCTTCTCTGGACAGCTCCACATTAAAAGGCATCAACAAATGCACAAATACTGATATTACAGGAGCTAAACAGGATTTCCACTTTGAAAAGGGTGTTGATCCATTGCTTTCTGAAAATACAGGCAGTGATATTAACTATGAAGAAACCACCTTTTTGGAAGGACCAGAAAGAAGACTTTCACATGAGGCAAATCAGAAACCAGACATGTCAGACTGGGAGTGGTGTAGGAGTAAATCAGAAAGAACCCCCCGTCAGGTACAGTAAAAGTTGTTCTTCCTGTGAAACTAAAAGTGAGGCCAAATATTATAAGAATTAAAAAGTATCAGTTGCTTATTTCATTCAGTCAAGGTAATTTCACTTGCCTCAATTTTCATAATACTAATTTTAAGTTCAATGTGTCTTTTGAAGGACTTTTCATTTTGTTTAATTAACTATGTATTTTTCAAAATATATACATTTACAATTGTAGATTTATAAAGATGCTTTGAGAAAGGTAGAGCTACTATTTTAACCTCAAGTAATCAATTTAAATTCAGACTGACTTGTTACAAATTACTGAATGTGTAGGATTTATTTTTCTCTCTCACCCAAACAGCACTCCACAAGTCTCCAAGAAATGTTTTCTTTTTTACATAAAGACAATTATTTTTATAACTAGTAGTGAGAAGGGTAATCCTACTGCAACTATACTAGACAGCTTCCTACTAGTTCCTCCATTACTCAGCAGGGGGGGAAACAGATATAATCCAGGATATACTCAAATGAGAACTTTGGAAGCTCTGCTGAATGTACCATACCTTTAAGTATGTAAGAATGTTTTTATAAAACAGGAAGAATTAATCTAACCTTTCTTTTTTATTCCAGTCTGCTTAGAATGGTGAGGAATATTTTTATGAAATTTCCTCAAAATATGATCAGTTAATTCTTTCCTCTAAACTCTCATATCTGATGTTTAATGTTGCCCTTACTTTCCACACTATTGATTTATTAGGAAATGGAGTCTTTTCTGTAAGATTTAATAGAAGTCAAACTCCAGTCAAATTTCAGTCTCTGAAATTTGGAAATAGTTGGAAATTTCAGCATCTACTAGGATAATGCATTCATTGGCCAAAACTACGACCATGTAACACCTACTATGAATGTAAACAGATTAATCTGATATTTCCTTTATTCTCTGATTAATGTAAACTACTAGATTACTCTTACATATGATAATACAAGTATTTCTATCTATATCTATCTATCTATATAAAATGAAAAAATATAATTGTGCACATTACTTAACAATTAGGCATCCCAGGAAAATATCACAAAAGTATTTGTTATAAATTTAATAATACAAAGTATATTATTGAAAGAACAAGATACCTTAGCTAAGAGGGGTATCCTATTTACATTATTATCAGTTAGTTTTTGAATTATTGAAAATTCATGGTTTTCTTGTATTTAATATTAATATGAAAATTAGTATTTATGAAGTTTGTGTATTTGTGTGTGTTATGTAACCCAAAAATATACAACTACCTATGTTTTAATCTCCCATCCTATTCTAAAACATAAGCCTTAATAGGTTACAGTTATTGTGAATCTTATTCATGCACTTTCATCTGGTTTTTCATAAATGAATGTACATCTAGTATAGTATATTGTTTAGTTTTGCTTATTTTGAGTTTCTAAAGATAGCATCATACTGTACATTCCTGTGAGATTTTTTTTTCCCACTTGGCATGACTTAATTGACTGTCTTAAATGACTCTTTGTTTTCTTGTATTTCCTTGAAGAATATTGGAAATTACCATCTAAAATATCAATGAGCATCACAAGTAGCCACATTTAAGTCCTAGTTACAATTTGGAATGTATAATCAATCAACTACACCTACAAATATGAAAAAGGGTTAAAACTTTTATATATAAGTACAGTACCCTATGAGACTCATGAAGCACAACTTAAATCTTTAAATCAAAAAATATATACATGTATAGAAAACACACAACTTTTATGACTACATATATCTTTCAACTGCAAAGATTTGTTTGTTGAACAGTATTACTATCTTAATATCTGTGAAGAGAAAATAGCTCAGGAAACTGAATACTAGTTGTGAAAATATGCTTGGTGGTAAGGTAATACAATATTCAGGAAATCTAAAACTTTGTTTAAAGAATAGATGAAATTAAATGAAATTCTATCAAGAATTTTAAAAAAACATCTTTAAACCATAGGTTTAAGCTACTGGTATGATCTTCCTTTTACAACTAAATTACACTTAGGGTTGAAAGGTCTATGAGAACTTTTCCAGACCTAAGACAGATTTCAGCCCTTACTCAATTCAGCAGCAGATATTTCATGGGAGTAGATGGTGACTTACAAAGAAAGCCCTTTCTTTTTCACCCTTTTCTTCCCAATTTGAGCTTATGTTTTATTTTTCAGCTTTAGTGAAACATTAAACTGGGTTACACATTGCAGTTTACATTATGAAAACAATGTCTCTTGATTTTCTATGACTGTACTTTCAAATATTTATCAGCTCAATCTAATAGTACCACAGTGAATAATGTGTGTTCTTTGTTCTCAGGTTTTAAAGGAAAGCTGGTTAAATGTCATGTAGTGCATACATATTTAATTTGTACAATGGAAGCTTATATAATGTTAAGTGCATTTTTACTTTAATTTTACAAATAATAAACAAGATTCTAAATATATAAATATACATTCTTATACCAGGTCTACAGAAATCAGTTCCCCAGTTGGCTTCTATGTATTTTAGATTCTAATCATTAGCAGATGGATGATGGTTTAAAGGTCAGGACAAAAATTAATCCTTTACACTTAAATATAAAGTAAAATAAGGCTGGAAGGAAATCTTTCCCTAAAAAATGCATTTTTCTCTTTTCATTTTTAAAAACAAAGTACAAAAAAGTTAAATTGGTCAGACAAAGTTAGTGTTTCCTGTGACACTGTTTGTTATACTTAAGTTTGTTTTCTGAGTAATTTTTGACATGTTTAACTAAAGGGTCACAGGAAAAAGAAAAATTAACTTATTACCTTCTATGTGTAGCCTCTAGCTAGTCATCCTAACACAAGTGACTCTCTGGAGTATAGATGCTTTATTGTGTACTACATCCCTTTATTTGGAGTGGTATTACTCACTGTTTAGAGGCCTGAAAATTGTCACACTGCTTTCTTTTATATATTTGGGTATTAAAACAGTTATAACTTCTATTGTTTTATGATTACAAAAGGAACCTAGAATTATAGAAAGCTCAAAATTGCTGATAAGCAAAGAAAAAACACCCACTATCAATAATCCAAAGTTAACTTCTGTTTATATTTTAGCCTATAAAACTTTTCTATGTATCTAATTTTATTTTGACAAAAACAAGATAATCGTTCATGTACTATTTTGGAATCTGCTTTCCTCAATTTAAGAATATAATTTTTAAATGATTTAAATTGTTCAAATCCCTTGTGTGATTACCTAGTATAGAATGGCAATTTGGAGTGTGGCTGAAAACTTTTCCATGAATGTAAATTTGTTAACAAGTATTTTAAGTCTTTGAAGTTAAAGTTAATGGAATTTTATTGTAAACTAGTTTGAATTTTTCATAACACACTTTGTGATTCTCACAGCATGTATAACTTGCTGAAATGAAGTAAAATCAAACTGTTCATCTTTCACAAACTCAAGGATTAGCATTGTATCAAATTGAAGCTTGTGTGGACTACTTTAACTCAACTTTTAAGCTAGAATTCTACTAATGTTCTCAAAAAACATTCTCACTCCTTAAAAAGACCTAAAAGGCTACTTATTAAAACTGTCCAGCAATGCTTACATCTCTCTACAGTCTCTCATTGGGTAATTATCCCTTACTTTAAATCAAGTAGCTAGAAATTCACTACATTTTTAAAATGTACCACTGTGAACTAATTTTTAATTCACAAAAAGGTTTTAAAAGCATTAGAGTCCTCTAATGTATCTTTCATCTGACTTCCACTAATGTTAACATATTACACAACAATGATGCAATTAGCAGGAAATTAATAACTAATTTAGTTTTTATTTCAATTTTGCCAGTTGTCCTGCTGATGTGTTCTTTCAGGCTCAGGACTAATTCCTGATACTATATTGCATTTGTTGATTCTCCATCATATATAGCAGTTTCTCAGTCTTCCTTTGTTTTACATATTTTTGACATTCTGAAGGCTCTGTTTTACATATTTTTGACATTCTGAAGGCTCCTGAACTGTTTGTTTTGTTTTTGGAATACCCTTCAATTTGTAATTGCTTTATGTTTTCTATTGATTAAACTGAGGTTATGCATTTTGGCAAGGCTTACATGGAAGTAATGTTTGCCCTTCCCAGTGCTGTCTAACCTCAGATACATGATGATGATACATCTAAAATACTGACATAAACTTTCATCACTTCATAAAAATGATGTCTACCAGATTTCTCTGTAAAAATACTACTTTCCTCTTGCAATTTATAAGTATCTGTGGTGAGACATCTTCACACTATATAAATATTGTTTTGTATCACCTTTTTATCCACTACTTTTAGCATTAATTGCTGAATCTTGCATACGATTGCCATGTAAAGATTTCCTATTTTTAACATTTCTTTTATATTTATTATTTAAATTCTCCTTTAAGGAAAAGCTATCTTTTCTCCTCCATTCACCTTTTTTATAGCTGTATAATAATTCATGATATGGATACAATAGTTAATGCCACCATTATTTATATGGGTCATTAAGTTGTTTCTAATATTTTGACATTAGGAACCATATTACAATGAATAATATGCATATATATTTTCACATTTTGGAGGTATATCTTCAAGATAAACTCCTAGAACTAGTATTTAATAGTCAAAAGATAAATTTTTTATTGGAATTGCCTTTATTAATGGTAGATTATCATACACTTCAGTTTTTGCCAATCTGATAAAAGGGAAATATTTCATGTTATTTGAAGTCAAATAAAATAAAATCACAGAAGACGTTTTCATTTGCTTTGAGAGATAGCAAATTTAGTTGAGGTTATCATTTCAGTAGTGTGACTAAAACACACATATATACATATTTAGTTCTCAGGTAATGACACAATTAGAGATATGAGTTTACAGAAACTTGGAAAATTCAGACATAAGAAATAGAGTGCAGTGGAAAACTAGAGTAAGAAAAACTAAAGAACTTTCTTGAAATTCTGATAAACAGAAAAAATCAAAAGTAACACTGGATTCCAGATTA